GGACCGTCAGATGCCAGACCATCGGAGTTTTACTGTACTTGATTTGTGTACGTGGGCACAGAACCCTTTGATCCCCTGTATGAGGATTGAATTTGGAAGGTGAGTTCTCAATGAGTTTGACTTAAAAAAAAAATCTCAAATGTGTTTAATGAAAAAAAATTAAGCTAATAATGCTGGACTGCAGTTCAAGACAGGAAGTAAAGACTGAACTGAAATTACATATAAACTTTGAGTGTGTTAAATGCATTTACCTGTAATGGAACTGGGCCAGTGTACCAGGGCTAACAGCTTTATTCTTTTGTGTTAAAATTGATGTGAAATAGAGCAGGGCTGCTTAGAGAAATGTGTTTCAATAGAGATGAGCTCCGGATAATATCTTGGTGATGCTTAACCATTCTGGGTTTGCTCTAAAGAGGAAAAGAATTGGGGGAAAAAAAGCTGGTAGCTGAAAATCCCCATGGGCTGAAAACACAGAAATACCAGCTGGGTTCATGGAAGGCTTGCTCATGAAGTCTAGGGCAGCCAGCAGTTGACTAGCTGTTAGATTACTTTTTTATTTAAAAAACAAATACAAATTTCAGAGAGAGAGAATTTTGCTTGAGAGCTAAAAGGTCTCCTGGTTTTATTGAAACAAAAATTTAAATTATTTGGCATGCAAATTATTTTGCACAAAAGTGCAAAGCATAGCTTTCTAATTATATTGCTCTAAAGATCTTCTCAAAACAAGGGCAATCATCTCTTTATTTAGCTGACTTTCAGTTAAAACAAAGAACAAAAGCTTTGCTGTTTTGTCGTTCACTGTTAAAGCTAGGATCCATTAGGATACCATGCTCCATAGTTAGAGATTTCTCTTGAATAATTTGCTTTCCTGTTTTCCTTGAAGCACAGCTATCTCCTTGTGGTTTCACTAAACTTTTCTTCATTGTAATGTAGGATCTTGTTTTAGTTCCTTAAGTATAGCCTGGTTTGTAGAATGCTGATGGTTTCCTGCCAGATAAACGTAACACTCTGATATCACTGAAGTCACGGCAGGCTAAGTATCATCATGTTGTGATAATAAGCAGTTTTTTAAAATGTATCCTCAAGTAACAGAAATCTAGATATTAATAATTTTGTGAGCCTGAAAATATAAAACTCCCTGAGGAGGTAAATCCTCATACAGCTTAGTATAATATTCTCTTACTGTGGCAGGGGAAACTTTTGCTTATATTGGCTAGGGATCTAAGCGACTAGTTGAGTAGTGATTCGACTAGTTCACAATAGACTGTGGCAGGGGAAACTTCTGCTTATATTGGCTAGGGATCTAAGTGACTAGTTGAGTAGTGATTCGACTAGTTGCTTCCCCCGCCCACTGCCTCCATCAGAGAGGGGCTTTCTGTAGAGGGTCCCAGTGGGAAGCTGGCCATGGACAGCGACTGCTGGACTCAGCGTGACCTGGGACTGGTGGGTCCTGGCTTGCACAGATCATTGTGGCCTTATACATTGAGCTGCAGGGTGGCTTCTGTACCCCCGCTGCGGCTCTGCAGAGCAGTTCTAGCTACTATTTGTATAATTAATAACCACACTTTAACAACCTTAATACTGGCTAAACCTTAAACCTAGGTTAGAAGATGAACTTTCTTTAGTGCTAACCTGCAAAATGGTTAATTTTGACATCCTGTAGATAACTGGATTCCTTTCTTATTGTTTGTGTTTTGGTACTTCTTAAGCTAAAATATACATATATTTATTTTAAAAGCATTAATTGCAGAAACTTTTCTTGTTTAAACTTGCTGAACAAGGTCTTCTCACTCCTTTTGGTTCTGTTTGTGTAATACACTTGTTTTTCACTTGCTGCAAATCAAGTGAACTGCTAAATATTCAGTAGAAATTGGATGAATAAATATCTAGTTGTTGGTTCTTGATGCGTTGTGTACATACTGATCATATTTACAAATAAGCAAAATAACAAAAAATATTGAACACTTGTAACTAGAGTTTACCAAACTAAGTAAATATCCTTAAAGTAAATAGATGTAAATAGATAAAAAATGTAACATTGATACTGTATATAAAATTGAATTCTTCCAGGCCTCATTACAAGAGTTTGGTTCTGGCTCTCTCAAAAATGTTTAACTTTTGTGAAATGTTTTTAATTATTCTTTATTGGCATGGTGCATTGGTGACAAACCTAGTTCTTGTATTGAGATTGAGAGGACCATATCTGAGTGCAGTGTTGCATCTAATCCACTTAAACTTGTGTGCACTAATAATCTTTAAAAGTTTTCAGAAATTTACTTTAAAAATTGACACAGGATTGATTTAATTTTATTGTTTCAAAAACTGAACTAATCAATAAGAAAATATAAAGTGTAAAATGTAGTGATTATGAACCGGGCTTTAGAATATTTATTCTGTATAATGTCTTGACATGTTGGTACCAAGATGATTTAGAAGTTGAGATTCAGCTGTCATTAAAAACAATTATCTGGCCTTTTCCCTGTTCCCCATAATTTCCCACTATTGTGAAAATTATGAAGAGACAAATTACGCCAAGCCTTTCTAAGCCAGAGTAGCAGGGATGAACCTATATTCCCTTTGAGTTCCATTATCCTCAGACTCTATTTCAGCATACTGTTAAGTACAAGTTGTTTTCTTTTCAATACAAACAGACCCTGAGGGAGGGGAGGAAGCAGCTGCCTTCCTGCCCTTCTCCTCTGCCCCCTCCTCCCCAAAAAAGTGTCTGAAGCAGCAGCCTTTCTGCCTCCTTAGTGGCTGCCTCCAGCAAGCAGGGATGGGATGGGAGCACAAATGTGTGTTCCTGATAAGTGGGGCTGGCTCCCCAGCCCTGAGGCATTACCTGGGACTCATGAGTGGGTGCCTCTGTCCTCCCTGACACTGTTTAAATGGTCTTTTCATTGCAGGCACAGGAGAAAGTGGAAAGACTACCTTTATTAAACAGATGAGGATTATTCATGGGTCAGGTTTCACAGATGAAGATAGAAAAGGCTTCTCAAAACTGGTTTATCAAAACATATTTACAGCTATACAATCTCTGATCAAGGCAATGAACACTCTAAACATACAGTACACATCTGAGCAAAACAAGGTAAGAAGATTCCATTAGAAAATCATGGATTTCCTATTTAAGATCCCATTACTTAAGTGTCATGTCTTACCTTTTTTTTTCTTTCCATTTTATACAATCATCCTCAGCTTGGATTTTTTTTTAAATTACTTGGATAATTAAATATTTCCTAATCATGGTCTTTGTTTTAAAGGGGTCTTTTAGTAGGTTTTAAATGTACCTACAGTTGTGTCCCAGGCATGCGGCCTCACTCTCCTAAGGCAGGGCTAGAGTCCTCTAGCCCCAGCAACGCAGCTCCACTTACTCCTGTCCTTTAGCTCCGGATACTGTGGCAGCCTCTGTTACTCAGGTGTGAGCCACTTTCAGCTTTGAACCCTCACAGCTGGTGCTGAGCCCCACCTAGCCAGCTGGCAGGGGGCGGGGACTCGTGTTCAAAAGGCTGTACTGCGTGGTCAGCTCACCCTTCCATTTGTGCTGTTGAGTTGCTGGGGGAAAGACCTGCGGCTCAGCCTGCCTGGTTAGGGCTATACCCCCCGTGGGACGGATCAGAGATAAGCACAGAAGTGCTGTTTGCCACCTTGGAAGCTCTCTCTCTCTCTTTACCCAGGAGCAAGTGAAGCCTTTTAGTGGCAAAGCCTCATGGAAATGTGTACATTGCATTGGCACCTGAGTGTGATATAATTCCTCCCTTCTCATTTGGATTAATTGGCGTGTTGGTTTTTTTCCTAAACTGCAAATACCCCTTTCTAGGCAGTAATGCTTTCAGGACAGCTAGGCGACGTCTACATTGGCATGATTTTGCGCAAAAGCAGCTGCCTGACTACATTGGCTGCGAGTTCTTGTGCAAGAACACTGATGTTGTAATGTAAGAAATCAGGGCTTCTTGCGCAAGAACTCTGATGCTCCCTCTCAGGAAGAAGCCCTCTTGCACAACTGTTCTTGCGCAAGAGGCCAGTGTAGACAGGCAGCCAAGAGATTTTTCGCAAGAGCCGTCCTAATGGAAAAAAGCCCTAGTGGCCGCTTGGATGCTCCGTACACGCAGGCAACTCCGGACTTCCTGGTAACCCAAGACTCCTTATAGGCAGGCGCAGCCTGCAGAGGCCACAAGACAGAAGCCCTTCTGCCCACCCAGCTCTGCTGCGTGGCTCTCCTCCCTCCCTGAACAGCCACCAGACCACCAGGATGGCCGCTCCGGGGGGGGGGGGGAAACACCCCCACCCCCCCTGTCGAAGTGGCGCACCCTGTCCTGATCCCCAGGGGAGATCGAGGCCCTCCTGGACCTGTGGGCCGACGAGGAGGCCCTCCATGACACCTGCTCCCGTCGGCACATTGCAGACATCTTCCGCTTCATGGCCCAGGCGCGCTCTGACCAGGGTCATCCAGCCCGGACCCTTGAGCAGGTCCGGGCTAAGGTCAAAGAGCTGTGCCTGGGCTATGTCTGGGCCAGCGAGGGCTAGGGGGCAGGAGCTGACACCTGCCCCCACTACTAGCAGCTCCACAGCATCCTGGGCCAGGCACCACCCCAGGGACCCTCGGTTCCTGTGGACACCAGCAGGCGCCCTCCCTGGTGACGGAATGCAGAGCAACCTACACCTCGAGGTCCTGGACAAGGAGGGCAGCAGCATGGAGCAGCAGCTGCAGGGTGTGGGTTGGATGACAAGGACCACCAGGGGAGCAGCGGGACCCTCCAGCAGCCCCGATGTCTCCTGTGCATCCTCAGAGGCTAGGGAAGAATCCACTGGTGAGTGTTACACTTTGTACTCACAAGGGCGGGGCGGGGAGGGGCGTCACTTAGGCAGAGTGAGCTGCACACTGTGTAGCATTAGCAGTATGCAGTATGTGCAACCACATGCAGCCTGGTGACCAAGCGGCACGTGGCTGTGGCAAGCAGCTTCAGGGCATGCCTGGGACTGTGCTGCTCACTCACATCTGGACCAGGGGGGAAGGGTGGATGCCAGCTGGAACTAGCCAGGGCCCCAGGGGCTCAGGCCAGAGCCCACAGCTCCACAATGGTGCAGCACACAGAATGGCACACTGTCCCATGCCTGGTTGGGAGGCACAGCCAGCTGCTCCTGGGAAAAACGCACCATCACAGCCTGTGAGCGTGGCCCCCACTGAGCCCCTCGCCTGCTCCCGGGGCCTGGGATGCCCCCCCCCCCCCCCGGACCCCACTGCAGCCACACATGTCCTTGGGCTATGTGTGTAAGGGCTAGCGGGAGGGGGAGGGGAGAAGCGCTTGGGACAGCCCTAGGGCCACCTGAGTTTTGCTGCAAGGAGTTTTGCTCCCCAGTCACTCTCCTGGTTCCACCCAGGAGATATCCCACGTGATGGGGATCTGAGAGCCCAGACCATGTCTGCCAGATGTGCTCCCAGGCACTGTGTGGGGATTCATCTTGCTCCCTGTCAAACACCATTGATTAGCCCAAAGCCTCCACCAGCAGGGAGTTCCACAGGTTAACACAACACATGCGCCCTCCCACCCCCCAACGGGCCAGGACACAGACCGGTGATTACAATACATGGAGGAGGACCCTACTCCAGGGCTGTCCTGTATGCAAACATACAACATGGGGGGGCAGAGGGAGAACCGAGTGGGGGGGACGGGACCAAGTGGGGCCGGAGCGGAGGGCATGGGGTGCGGGGACGGTGGCTGGGCTGCCTGAGTGACCCGTCCTTTCCTCTGTTCCCTATAGCAGGACCAAGCAGAAGCGGGGGACCCTCCAGCCCTGCGGCAGTGACAGCACCCCCAACGGCCCAAGCACCAAGCCAGTGGGTCTGGCAGCAGAACCAACTGCTTCAGCTGCATGTGCAGGCTGTCGAACCTGTGGAGATGGCAATCACACGCCGGGTGGAGGCGGACCTGGAGTGGCACCAGCAGGCCTGAAGGCCCCTTCCAGGCCCCGTGTGTCCGCATGGCAGATGCCATCACCATACATATTGGCCATGCAGTGCATAGCATTGCCCCATGCACCCGCCATCCCTCCCATAGCAATGCCTGTGCCCCCTCCTCCCTTGATGCGGCCTGACCCCCATGTCCAGGTCTGCCCTCGCAGAGGCAGTCGCAGGGGCCACCCTTCCCAGTTCAGAGCCTCCTCCCCCCCCTTCCACCCTACATCCCCCCATCCATTGTAAATAAAAAGTTCAAAACGTTGTTTTCCAAAAAATACCCGTGTTGGTTGTTTATTGGGAGTTAAGGGGAGGGGAAGAGGGTTGGAGATGGGAGGGAGCTGTCAAGAGAGACAGAGGTGACCCTACTGTGGGGCCTGGGAGAACATCTCTGTCAGGGCCTCCCGGAAGTGCACCCTATCATGGTGCACCTGGTGGATGGCACCTGTGCAGGACTGTTGAAAGGCCTGGCCCTCACCTGCTATCCATGCCGGGAGGAAGGCCTCCCCCTTCCGTTCCACGTTTTGGAGCATGCGGCCACTACCTCGCGGACATTCCGCTCACTCACCCATCTCCAGATGGGTCAGCAAACAGCAAAATCAGACTTTCAGATGGCCGAAGGCGCACTCAACCTGGTTGCGGGCCCGGTTGAGGCGGTCGTTGAACCATGCCCAGTTGTGGTCTGTCTGCCCCATGTAGGGCCGCATTAGCTAGGGCAGCAGGGGGTAGGCTGTGTCCCCCACAACACACGTGGGCATGGGCATGTCCCCAACAGTAAATTCCTGGTGGGGGAAGAAAGTGCCCACCTCCGGCCTGTCAAACAAGCTGGAGTTGTGTAGAATGCAGGCGTTGTGTGTCCAGGAAGCGGCCACGGTGGTCCACAAGGGCCTGGAGTACGATGGAGAAATATCCTTTTTGGTTGATAAAATGGGCCGCTCGATTCTCCGGGGCACGGACGGGGCTGTGGGTTGCATCCAGGGCTCCCCTACAGTTGGGGAACCCCAGGGCAGCGAAGCCAGCCACCGTAGCCTCCACATCCGGCAGGCGGATGACTCGCTGGAGCAGGACGTCGTTGATGGCATGGATGACCTGCAGAAGGGTGCACAGAAGCAGAGGAGAACGCATCACATAAGGCAGGGTGAGTGCGTGCTCCCTTGGGGGCTTCCCACCCCCCCTGTGATGCCCTTACACACACCAGGGCCCCAGCAGGTCTGTGCAAGGGAGGGATGGCCCAAACCCCTGGGTGATGGGGCATTCCCCATTGCCCCAGTCTGGAGTCTTGCCTGCCCCTGGCCATGGAGCACAGCACCCTCTCCTGCCTCCCCCCCTCCCCCGGACTTACCTGCATGACGATGGCACTGATTGGTAGCTGTCCAGAGTGGCCAGCTTTCCAGAGTGCAATGGCGACCCTCTTGTCCACAGGGTTGGGTGCCAGCAGCCCGGGAGGTGTTTCTCTGGTGCGCAGGGGCGAGCCAGGCACCTAGCTCCAGAAACGTCTGCTTTCGCATCCGAAAGTTCCAGAGCCATTGCTGGTCATCCCATTACCCCAGGACCAGCCGGTCCCACCAGTCAGTACTGGTGTCCAGTCTCCACAAGGGCCTCTCCACGGTGGGCTGGGGATGCCACAGGGATGCCATGGCCTCCCTGGTGAGGGAGTCCAGAGAGACCTGCACCTCGAGGTCCTGGAGGAGCAGTGCAGCAGCCTGGAGCAGCAGCTGTAGGCACTCCAAAATGGCCGGAAGGGGCCAGAGCAGGCACAAGAACATCCCTGGCTTCATGGCACAAAAAGAGAGCTGAGGTCCAAAAATCAGCGAATGGCATTAAGGCACAAGCTGTGGTGTGATAGAGGGCAACCATGAGTAGAACTGCTACAGCAAGAGGCAACCACGAGTAGAACTGCTACAGCAAGAGGTCCTAAAGCTCGCAGCAGAAGAGAAACGGCTGTCTGGGGAGATCCCTTTAAGCATGTGAATCAAAGGAGCTCCAGCACCTGCCCTCGGAAAAGGCTGGTGCCCTTTTGCCCTCTCCAGAATGGTTCCAGGCTCCTGCTTTTGTGCAAGAGTGTCCCGCCAATATAGACGCTCTCTTGCGCAACTACTTTAATGCAAGAACTCTTGCATTAAAGAGCAGTTGCG